TGTTGTAACTGTGGGGGACAGCATAGAGTGACTTTTGGAGGATGTGAAATTAGGAAAAAGGCCATTAAAGTGGAGCAAATTAAAACCGTAAATAATATCAGCTATGCTGAAGCTGTGAAAAAAGTTCAAGAACAAACTGGAAGGAGAGAGATGAGTGTACAACAAAACCCAGCATCCCAGTTATCAAAAGAGAGAACTGAACCTACAATTACAGTGGAGAGGATCATGTTGTTCATTGCATATGTGATTAACTGTGCAGATCAGGTCAAGTACAAAACAGAGAAAATTAAAATAATAGTTAAAGGAGCAGAGAAATTTTTTGGTATAAAAGACATTTCATGGGAGCATATTAACAAAGAACTGGGGGGAATCGGGAAGTCAGGGACATCAGGAGAGGGGGCACTCTGATTATTCTACAGTGGAACGCTCGAAGTTTAATCGCAAATGGACAAGAATTTAAAGGCTTTATTAAAAATCTTAACAACAAACCAGACATAATATGTATTCAGGAAACTTGGCTCAAAGCAAATTTAGACTTTGTTATTAGAGGATATACTGGTGTACGCAGAGATAGAAGTGAGACCCAGGGAGGGGGATGTGTAACATTTGTAAAAACAGGAATGCACTTTAGATTATTAGCAAAAGGAACTCATTTAGAATATTTAGTTGTTGAAGTTTGGAACAGGAAGGAAAGCATCAAAGTAATAAATTTTTACAATCCTTGCAAAAGACTTTCACATGAATCAATGGAAGAACTCAATAGTTATTTAAATGGAAACATCTTTTGGTGCGGTGATTTTAATGCACACAACTCATTGTGGGGCACTAAGAATGATAGTAATGGAACAATTATAGAAGAATTAATGGAAAATAAAAATCTTGTCTGTTTAAACGATGGTAAGGGTACAAGAGTTGATATGAGAACAGGTATGGAATCAGCAATTGACCTAACAATAATATCAAATTCAATAGCAGGAATAAGTACATGGAAAATAGTTAAAGATACAACAATAGGAAGCGACCACTATCCCATAATAACAGAAATAAAATTGGATATTGAAAAATATAAGACGGGTGGTTTGCAGAAATGGTGTTTTGGTAGTGCTGATTGGGAAACATTTAGATGTATAAGTGATCAGGAATTGGAAAAAATTAATGTAAATATGGAAGTTGATCAGCTAAATGTGTCTGTTTGTCATGCAATCATACAGGCTGCTGACAAATCTATAAAGAAGAAAGGAGGTAAGGGCTGTAAGAAGATTGTTCCATGGTGGACAAAGGAGTGTGATAAAGTAATCAAAAGTCGAAATAAAGTTTTTAAAATGTTAAAAAGGAATCACAGCTATCAAAATCTTATTGAATATAAGAGATGTCAAGCCATTGTGAGAAGAACTATTAAAAGTGCAAAAAGGGATTATTGGAGGCATTTCTGTAATTCAGTAGGAAGAGAAACTGGGATTAATAAAGTATGGACAATGATAAGAAGAATGAATGGAATTAAAAGAGAATATGGTTATCCGGTATTAAACAATGGTCAAATTACAGCAGTAAAAGATGAACAAAAGGCAGATCTGATGGCTAAAACCTTTACCAAAATACATAGTTCAGATAATATTACTTTGGAAGAGAAAAGGGGAAGAGAAATGACAATGATAGAGAATAGAGAGATCTTGGAGCATGTAGAGGATGGAAATGATCTATTAAATGTTCCTTTTACAAAATCAGAACTAAATCGAGCCCTACAGAAATTTAAGCTAACAACACCTGGGAAAGATCAGATTTGTTATTTAATGGTGAAACATCTTAGTGAATCCTCTAAAGACATTTTATTGGATCTTTATAATAAAGTTTGGGAGAATGGAAAATTACCACAGGGATGGAAAGAAGCAGTGATAATACCAATACACAAGCCAGGCAAAGATGACACAAACCCAGAACATTACAGACCGATTGCATTAACGTCTAATATATGCAAAATAATGGAGAAAATGATTAATGACAGGTTGATTTACTATATAGAATCAAACGAATATATATCACAATATCAAAGTGGTTTTAGGAGAGGTAGAAACACCATGGATTCAGTTTTAAGTTTGGAATATGAAATCAGAAAGGCCCAAGTTAAAAAAGAGAGTATTGTAGCAGTGTTTTTTGATATTGAAAAAGCGTATGATATGATGTGGAAAGAAGGTTTATTAATTAAAATTAGAAATATAGGCATAACAGGACGGATGTACAGATGGATAAAAGATTTTCTTACCAAGAGACAAATACAAGTAAGGATAGGAAACCATTATTCTGAGAAACACATTGTCGAAAACGGAACTCCACAAGGGAGTATAATAAGTCCTTTATTGTTTACAATAATGATAAATGATGTGTTTCAAAATGTAGATACTGGGATGGGTTTTTCTCTTTTTGCTGATGACGGAGCAATGTGGAAGAGGGGAAGGAACTTGGGGTTTATTACTAGAAAAATGCAAGAAGCTATTTCTAAAGTTGAAAAATGGTCATACAAATGGGGATTTAGATTTTCGGTAGAAAAGACTAAGACAATGTTCTTTACAAGGAAAAAAATTGGAGATGATATTAAACTAAAGTTATATAACCAAGAACTAGAAAAAGTGAAGCAGTTTAAATTTCTTGGGGTCTGGTTTGATGAAAGGATTACATGGAATATACACGTACAGAAAGTGTTAGATAAATGCAAGAAGGTGTTAAATATCATGAGGTGTTTAACTGGTAGTGACTGGGGGGCAGATAGGAAAGCCCTTAAGGCTATATATACAGGATTAATTCGATCAGTACTAGACTATGGAAGCATTGTTTATAATTCAGCAGCAGATACAACTTTACAAAAATTAGACCGTATTCAATATCAAGCATTGAGACTGTGTACAGGTGCAATGAGATCTACCCCAACATCATCACTACTGGTAGAAATGGGAGAAATACCACTCAAAATTAGAAGAGAACAACTAACTCTAAATTACTGGGCTAATCTGAGAGGCCATGGACAGGATCATCCAACACAAGAGACAGTTAAACCTTGTTGGGAAAAAGAAGTAAAATATATCAGAAGTTTTGGTTGGATTGTGAATCAGAAAACGACAGAACTCAAAATAGATCAGATCAATATAAGTCAAACAACTCCATTACCAGTAATACCACCTTGGATACTTCCAGATGCCATGGTAGATTTTACATTATTGAAAAAAAGAAATGAGAATAATGGGTTCATTTTAAATTCAAATACAGTACAGAACCATATTGATACATATTACAGCTATGTTCAAATTTACACAGATGCTTCCAAGAACTTAGTAAATAAAGTAGGTGTAGCCTTCATTGTTCCAGAATTCAACATCAAAGTTAGGAAAAGAAGTAACGATGGACTTTCAGTATACACAGGGGAAATGCTCGCAATATTATTAGCCATTCAGTGGGTTGAAGAAACAAGACCATTGAGATCAGTGATTTGTTCAGACTCCAGTTCATCATTAGTCAGTTTACAATATAACCATTCAGAAAGCAGGCCAGATATTTTAATAGAAATTCAACAAACACTATACAGAATAAATATGATGGGTCTAATGATACATTTTTTATGGATACCAGCTCATTATGGTGTTACAGGAAATGAAATGGCAGATAAAGCTGCAAAGGAAGCCACTAGAAATAAATCGGTGAATTTAGTAGTTAATTTTAGTAAATCAGAAATAAAACTTTTAATAAAACAGAAAATGAAGGATAAATGGCAAAAGATATGGGAGGAAGAAAAGAAAGGACGCTGGTTCTATAAAATCCAAAAGAAAACTGGAGACATGAGAAGTACAGGGAGGACGAGGAGAGAAGAAACAATTATTTCTCGTCTCAGATTTGGGCATACTGGGTTAAACAGCACTCTTTTTATTTTAGGGAAACACTGCACTGGTAAATGTGAGTACTGTGGAGCAGATGAGACAGTACAGCATGTAATGTTACACTGCAAAATGTTTGAGGAAGAAAGACGACATTTGATTCAAAATTTAAATAAAATTAAAGTAAAACTAGAATTAATTGATTTATTCAGAAATAACTCTAATAGTAAAGTTTATCAGATAATCTTTCATTATCTTAAATCAACACAGTTATTTAAGAGGATTTAATCCTTGAGTGACATTTTGGTCCACACTCCTTACCAGTCGGTGGCGGTAATGCACCAATTTCGTTGTTTGCCAACCGCCAATAAACCTCAAAGAAGAAGAAGAAGAAGACTCCTGAGTTCGTCACAATACAAGCAGATGTTAAAATGATTCTTCACATGAATTGATCTTCCATTAGAAGAAATTGTTTTCATTTAGAGGAGAATCTGGATTCTGGACTTGTTACTGCCAAGAACCTGGATGCTGTTCTCTGGTCTACTTGGTCCAACAAAGTTCTGGACTCTGACCCATCTAATCTAGGTTTCCACTGTGGTCCCAGATGGAGCCCAAAGAGTGGACCAGGTCAGCACCAGTCCTTGACAAAGGTTTCCTGAAGTAAAACTTTGGTCCGGGAGGTTTTGTCAGATGGTCTATTTGGTTATGGTAATTTACTTTTATTTACTGCTCATTTTATATGATTTTTTTAAATCAATGTTTTGTTGTTGTGTCGTTTTGTCTTACCTGTGATTTTGTTTAAAACAGGTCTCTAATGTGAGTCATGGAGACTCGAGACAACCTGTAGAAATAAAGGTTGAATGAATGCACGTTTTATTCTCGGTGTCAAACTGGATCCTCAGAAGAGGATTTTTAATCAACTGGAGGGATGATCCAAATGAAGAGTAGAAAGAACGCAGAAAAAACACTTTGAATAAAGATTCAAAGATGGCAGTTTAAAAAAAACTTTATTCTGACATCCAGCATGAGAAACAATAAAAACATTCAGGTGTTTAAAAGTTCCACTGGAGAAAAAAAAAACATAAATTTAAATTTATATCGTAGGTTTTTATGATGAATTTCAGTTTTTTAAACGGCTGGTCATTTTATGTACAAAAGTCAAACAATAAGCCCACAGAGTCCAGGTCCAGGTCAGTGGACCTCCTCAATAGTGGGCCCCTGGGGGCCTCCTGGGGCCTGCCCTCTACAGGTCCCAGTGGGCCTCCCTCCCTGGTACAAGCTGCTGATGATGGGGCTGCACACGTTCTCCAGCTCTTTCTGCTTGTGTTGGTACTCGTCTTTCTCAGCCAGCTGGTTGTCCTCCAGCCAGCTGATGGTCTCCTTACACTTGTCCACCACCTTCTTCTTGTCCTCCTCACTCAGTTTGTCCTTCAGCCTGTCATCCTCCACACAGCTCTTCGCGTTGAAAGCGTAGCACTCCAGGGAGTTCTTGGCGGAGATCCTGTCCCTCTGCAGCTCGTCCTCAGCTTTGTACGTCTCGGCGTCCTGCACCATCCTGTCCATCTCCTCTCGGCTCAGTCGGCCTTTATCGTTGCTGATGGTGATCTTGTTCTCTTTGCCGGAGCTTTGCTCCACTGCCGACACGTTCAAGATGCCGTTGGCATCGATGTCGAAGGTGACCTGAATCTGAGGGACCCCTCGTGGAGCAGGAGGGATTCCAGTCAGGTCAAACCTGCCCAGCAGGTTGTTGTCCTTGGTCATGGCCCTCTCCCCTTCGTAGACCTGGATCAGGACCCCGGGCTGGTTGTCGGAGTAGGTAGAGAACACCTGGGTTTGTTTGGTGGGGATGGTGGTGTTGCGTTTGATCAGGGGCGTCATGACTCCTCCAGCCGTCTCAATACCCAGGGACAGAGGGGCCACGTCCAGCAGAAGCAGGTCCTGAACGTTGCTCGAGGTGTCCCCGGTCAGGACGGCAGCCTGGACGGCGGCGCCGTAAGCCACGGCCTCGTCTGGGTTGATGCTTTTGTTCAGCGCGCGGCCATTGAAGAAGTCCTGCAGGAGTTTCTGGATCTTGGGGATTCGGGTGGAGCCTCCCACCAGGACGACGTCGTGGATCTGGCCCTTGTCCATTTTGGCATCCAGCAGAGCCTTCTCCACTGGCTCTAAGGTTCCTCTGAACAGGTCGGAGCAGAGCTCCTCAAAGCGCGCCCTGGTGATGGAGGTGTAGAAGTCGAGGCCCTGGAACAGAGAATCGATCTCGATGCTGGCCTGGGAGCTGGAGGACAGGGTCCTCTTGGCCCTCTCACAGGCTGTGCGCAACCTCCTCAAGGCTCTCTTGTTCTGGCTAATGTCCTTCTTGTGTTTCCTCTTGAACTCATCCACAAAGTGGTTCACCATGCGGTTGTCAAAGTCCTCTCCTCCCAGGTGAGTGTCTCCGGCCGTGGCCTTCACCTCGAAGACGCCGTCTTCCATCGTCAGGACGGACACGTCGAAGGTGCCTCCACCCAGGTCAAAGATCAGGACGTTTCTCTCCCCCGACCTGCCTTTGTCCAGACCGTACGCGATGGCAGCTGCCGTGGGCTCGTTGATGATCCTCAGGACGTTGAGTCCTGCGATGACGCCGGCGTCTTTAGTGGCCTGTCGCTGAGTCGTTGAAGTAGGCTGGGACCGTGATGACAGCGTTGGACACCCTGTGTCCGAGGTAGGCCTCAGCAGTCTCCTTCATCTTCACCAGGACCATGGAGGAAATCTCCTCAGGGAAGAAGGTTTTGTTCTCTCCTTTGTAGTCCACTTGGATTTTAGGCCGCCCTCCTTCTGAAAGCACCTTGAAGGGCCAGTGCTTCATGTCCGCTTGCACCACCGGATCATCAAACCTCCTTCCGATCAGCCTCTTGGCATCAAACACAGTGTTGCTGGGGTTCAGGGCCACCTGGTTCTTGGCGGCGTCCCCGATCAGCCTCTCGGTGTCCGTGAAGGCCACATAGCTGGGGGTGGTCCTGTTGCCCTGGTCGTTGGCGATGATTTCTACTTTTCCGTGCTGGAAAACCCCCACGCAGGAGTAGGTGGTGCCCAGGTCGATACCGATCGCTGCGTCTTTAGCTGCAGACATCTTGGCTCAGTCCTTTTGTCCTGAAGAAGTACACACACAAACCAGGAGACATTAGAGACAAGTTAAACAGACAAGTTAAACAAACAAGACAAACATTCTTCTCTTCTTTTGTTTAGCAAAATGAGACAGAACGACTAAATGTTCTGTGGAGTTCAAAAAGAAGGTCGAACTTACAGTTGAAACTTCTCTGGTTCTCTTCTGGTTCTCCTCTCCTCTGGTTCTCCTTCTCTAGTTCTCCTTCTGTGTCTCTGCTGTCAGAGCAGCAGCTTTATATCTGTGAAGCTGACAGTCTGGCTGCTTCCAGACGGTTCACGAACAAAACATCAAACTGCGGAAACACTAGCCTCCTCTTCCTGTTAGCGCTTCAAAATAAAAGCTCACGGTATTATAGCCAAATGCAGTTGATGCCAATCAAGTTTTTTATTTTGAAATTTAAGTTATCAATATCCGGTTTGTTTCAGCGACTTGATGGAACTCTCGAAAGTTCGAGCGGGGTTTTTAGTTTCGTTTGAAGATTTCAAAGTAAACTTGGAGAACCTTCTGGAGAAATGGAGCAAAAACAAGAAACTGAAGGAGACGTTAATATTTTTATTTTTTTTCAGCTGAAACAGAAGTTTGAATGTAAAGGTTATTTTCTTATAATAAAATAATTAAAAAATAATTTATTATTTATAATTATTTCATTATATTTATAATGGTTTATTGTTATGTTTTATTTTTAACCCAGATTAGAGCAATTATTTTTGTTTTAATCAAAAAAACCGAGACCCAATACTTTTATTTCAGAAGTTTAATGTTGTAAATTAAATTTCATGTAAATGTCCAGTTCTGTGAAATATTTTAAAGAATCTATAAATTGCCCAAAGAAAACCTCAAAGACCTTCAGGAAGACTGGAGAACTGTTGACCCGGACCACTTTAATGAATCTCAGGAATGTCTGGATCTTTAAAATAGAATCAAGATTTATAAAAATAAACTTTTGTCATCAGATTTTCTTCAAACTTCTCCATTTTTTACGAGCAGAAAGACAAAAATCTTCAGCTTAACCTCTCTGGACTTCCTGTTTGAGACCTCCTGTCAAAATAAACCCCCCACAGTCCAGAGACCATCATTCTGGACCCAGTCCAGGTCTTTCGTTCTGTCAGCGGTCGGTCCCGCCTGGCGGTGTGTTTGAGTGTCTGAACTGTCTCAGGGCTCCCCTGCAGATCAGACAGAACCAGTAGAGTTGCAGGGGCCACAGCAGAGCGGCCCCCAGGTTACACTGCCAGGGGGCCACCAGGGGGACCGCCAGGACTGGGATGGACGCATACCTGCAAGAAAAGACAGAGGACACTGTGTCAGACTGAGCTGGAGCAGGACAGAGGGACAAAGACAGCAGGACATGTAGGAGGACAGGACAGAAGGACAGGTCTCTCTTGTAAATGAGTCCTTGTGGCTCAATGGGACTAACCTGATTAAATAAAGATTGAATGATAGCAGGACATGTGGACAGAAACATGTAAAGGGACATGTGGACAGGGACATGTGAAGGGGGGGGGGTCACCTGCTGTAGGCGTAGTAGAGGTAGGGGAAGAGCAGCACCCGGCAGCAGAAGAAGGTGAGCAGAACCACGAGTCCGTTGAGTCGGTGCAGAACCGAGTTCTGTTTCTGAAACTGAAGGAAGACATTTCTGTCCAACTGAGTCCAAACAAAGAAAAACTTCCAGCATTTTATACAAACGTTTACACGTTGATAAATAAAAACTCAAAGAAGAAAACGTGTCAGTCACTGTGGTCTAAAATCCAACATAAACCACCAGACTTTATTTATTTGTTTATTTCTCCCTCTTTACACAAAAATAAAATTTAATCATGTATTAAAATAAAGTAAAAAAACAAAGATGAAACATTTAAAAAAAAGACAGATCATGATTTTTCCTACAGAACAAGTTGGTCTTTGAACGCCTCACTAACAGGACCTTAAAAATCTTTTTTCAATTCTTAAATGTTAAAATTTTAGATCAGAACTAAAATGATGGGGCCAACTGGATTAAGACTTTTACACAGTTCTGACCCTGATGAATGACAAGAATCTCAAAGAATCAACTGATCACAGTCATTTATAAAATATAAACTTTATTGATAAAAACAAACAGATGGTTGTGTTGAACAGAAAGTAATGGGATTACTGCAGCCTCAGAGGTTTACCTGGATCAGAACTTTCCCCAGACTGACAGACGGCGTGCTGAGCTCGGCCAGAAACAAAACGCCCTGAAAGAAGTCTCCTCGGCCTTGGCGCCACAGCTGAGAGACAGAGAGAAAACTGGGTCATGGTCCAGGACTCAGACCTCAGACAGACTCGGGGTCCAGGACTCAGACTCGTTCTGGTTCAGGTTTATGAATCAGGTTTTCATGGCACAGCCAACACCAGCAGCAGCTCCAAGGTTTGAGGGGGTTCTGATAATCTCAAGTGAACCAGCTCGGGTTCTGGTCTTGATTAGAGACCAGTTTTTCTGAGTTGGTCTGGACTGGTTCTGAACTCTTGGGTCGGTTCTGGATCTGGTTTTGGGTCGAACCAATCGTCTCACATATGCATGATGATGACATGGTGATTCAGAACCAATCAGAGAAGAAGCTGTAGCCAGGAGATTAGCTCCGCCCCTTTTTAGTTCAGGAACCAGACGTCTGACCTGATGGTGGCGCCGTCTGCGCACAGCGTTGTCATAGTTACCAGAGAAGCGGGGAAGCAGAAGGTCACCATGAAGACGTGATGCAGAACCATCAGAACCTCACGATGCAGGTAACCCGACAGCACCGCTCCAAGCCCCGCCTCCTCGTGATCTTTGACCTGCAGCTTGTGCTTGTAGCACAGGAACATGGCGTAGATGTCGTAGAGGAAGTACGGAGTGGCGAACAGGATGTAGGCCTCAGTGAGCCAGTGTCTGAGCAGGAAACAGAAAGTATAAACAGGAAGTGATGAGGGAACAGGAAGTGATGAGCAAACAGGAAGTGAAAACACACACACCATGACAGGCAGGCAATCATGTAACGGTCTCTGTCTGTTAGCAAAATGAACTAAGATCTATCGTAACCTGATTCAAGATGGCCGCCATAGCTAACGGCGGTTAGCTGCAGTTTGTGTGGTAGTAGCTGAGAGTCGCCCCTAACTTGTTTAGTTTAATAATATCCTTTAGTTTAGAGTTAAAATGAAAAAGTTGAACTCGTTTTGAAAGTTCATCATGAATCGAAATGTTTTTAAGCACTTTATTAAAAAGATCAAAGGTTTCGATCACAGCTTGAAACTTCCTTTGATGTTTTCAGATGAAACGCTCCTCCAGCAGAGCAGAAATCTCCCAGGATTCCCTGCAGCTCGTGTTGTGATTTGATAAACAAATGTGAGGAAACGTGCACCCGTCTGACAGGGAAATGAAGCTGCTCCTCCTCCTCCCCGCGGTGACGAAGAGGATTACTGACCCTGGAACAGCTCGGGAGGTCTGGTCTGCTCAGATTAATCGTCAGACTGAGTGGCTCAGGTTCTGACGGTGGTTCAGGAACGTTTTGTTCTTTGAACTTTGGGTAAAGTTCTGGAACATTTCACGGTGGTTAGACCAACGTTCTGGTGTTGGAGACGATCGGAACCTCCTGCAGGACACCCGGTCCTCACCTGTCCTCCATGACATCTCTGCAGGACGAGACGATGACACAGCCGGCCGACGAGGCCAACACGGCCTGAAGAGACGAAACCAGGCTGGAAACAGAACCAACCGGGTCAGAACCAGGAAGTGCAGAAGTCAGGGAGACACGAGGAAACGTCAGCGCTTACAAAACAAACATAAACAAAACAACAAAAAGATGCTAAATGAACATAAAACATCTGGAGTCCAACAGAACCAACACCGACCCAGAAGGAGGCTCGACCCGGGTTTCACCCAGCTGCAGATCAGAAACCACAAACACAACTCACACAGCGTGTGTGTCTCGGTCTGTGTGTCTCTGTCAGTGTGTGTGTCTCTGTCAGTGTGTGTGTCTGTCTGTGTGTGTGTGTCTGTCTGTGTGTGTGTCTGTCAGTGTCT